TTCCCTGCGCGAGGTGTTATGCGTTGAAGCATATACATCGAGGAAATGTGTAGCATATACATCGAGGAAATGTGTCGTCCAGCTAAATTTTGAGTGTTTTTAATAATTATTAGCGTTTTAAATAGCTATATATAAAAATATACTTTTCTTTGAAACATATTTGCAAAGAGGCCTCTTTAGCTGAAATACTCACGCTGTGAAGTCCTAATTCTTCGAGTTCTATTAATCAAACCAATATCAAATAACTTTTTATTCTTTTTGATGCGGATTGTTTCGGGCAAACAAAAAAGTTATGTATTATGCTTTACCTGAAGGAAACTGGTGCTTCAAATATTCGCTCATAGTAAAACAGAGAGAATAAGGAATAATAGAAAACGTTTTAAAAAAAAAGAGAAAAGATCAAGCTACTTGTTGAGAAGGAAAAGATTAAAATCATTTTAGAAATTATTGATGTAGTGAATAAAAAAAAGATTTTCATTAAAAAAGTGTGGTGTACTAGCAGGTCAAACAACTCACATAAATAAATGTTTTATTAAGATGATTATATAATAAAAAATATATATATTTATATATAATGTCAAGGATTCACACAATATTATGAACATTAAGGATTTTAAACAAATCAAATTTGTATATAAAAACAGCTTCTGCTTAAATATACCTAACGCATCATCAACGTAACAGATTATGTCACTCGCCGAGTGTTTGCGTATGGATTTGAAGCGCGTGTGGCACTTCGGTGGCCCTGACACCAGAAGAATCCCAGAGTCTGATCTTTAGAGGGAAGAGGGAAAAATAAAGTGAGTGGGAGAGAAACAAAGATGGAGGGGGAGAGATAGAGAGCCGGGACAAACGTGCGCTGCGTTACTGGGCCACTCCAGCGCCCGTGGACTCGCAGCAAGACTCAAAGCCACACTCGGCTTCAAAAGAGAGCCATGAAGATTCTCTCCTTTTTGTTATGTTTACAAAAAAAATATTTATTTCATTTCTCGTCACTCTTGTCACTTATCTATTCATTTCCTGTCGTCCCGGCACCCCCTCGCTCTTGCTCCCCCCAGCCCCACACCCCCTGTTTTAATACCACTGCAGTTTGACAAATCAAACTGCTCTAAAACAAATTGATGTACTCTTTAATATAGTCGTCCCAACATCACAGGGTCCCCGCGCGTCCGCCTTGGTGACAACTGCAGGGCTGCTTAGCTTAGCCCGGCGACGGCTGCGACTTTGTTGGTCGCTTCAATGATTTATCACAAAAAAAAAAAAAAAAAAAAAAAGAAAACAGAGGGAGATGGTGAGAGTGGGAGAGCTAGAAAGAAACAGCCCCCTACACGATGACTGAGTCACTGGCACCTTTGATTGACGTGGTCTAATCAGCTTATCTCCGTCCTAATAAAGTTGATAGCCCGCGGTGCTGCTCTCTACCTGGCATGACGTGAACTTTGGACTCGGCTGGGGTCCCTTCACCCCCTCCCACCCCCCCAGTCACCCTCGGGCCAGGCTCTGGCCCCTCTCTGCTTATCTGAACGGGACTGAAATCAATCCCTAATGAGCGGTTTTCATTTTTAGCAGGATTGATTACAGGCCCCTAAACACCAAGAACAGTCGCCTAAGAAGCGCACTCAGCCTCTCGCCGGCCACCTTTAAAATGCAGAGCAGCAGCGCTTTTGTCCGTGTCTCTCTTTGTTTCAGGAGCTCTTTTTTGCTGGCATTGCTAAGTTATTTGTGTCAACTGAACAAGTATAAAGGGGGTTGAATTTTCAAAGTAAATTCACTCCACGTTTGCTGGCTGAGTTATTGAGTCAAATGATTTTTAGAAAAGGGCCTCAAAGAAGCATTCATTCACTCATAATAATTGTAAAAAATGAAAGGACGCTACGATTTGTGCTCAAATTAAATCTTAAAAATGTTGAAGTGCATAAAACATGCATTAGTCATGTCTCTGCAGGCCAACTACAGAAGATTCAAGCCCACATAAAAACTATTGCTATTACAACACGTAATTTAAGCTTATTATTACTATTATTATTATCATTGTAATGCCCTAAAATGCAAAGGCAAAACAAAGCAAATGTTATTTAAAGCCACTAGATTAATAGAGTGCTGCCGGTAAACAAAGGAATTTTTACTGGAAGCGGGAGTTTTTGATGGGCCGTTTGTCTTCTCGTATGAACTGTGGATTAGTACGTTACTCTCGCTCACTCTTCAATGAATAATAATCAAAAAGGTGGAGCAGCTAATCATTGCAACTTAGATGCATTATCTGACATGCTATCCATTTCTAAACAAGCAATCATAAATCATTCAAAAACCTTTTCAACCGTGGAGGGAAGGACTAAAATCTGGCATGCCTTTGATTTAACATCAGTCAAGCCTCCACATTTGGGCATTTCAAATGCCCCCGACTCAAATGTCTTTAAATTGGCTAACTGCATGCCCTCCCACTTTATTTAGGGTCCTCTTTAACTGGGCTAGCCCCCACGTTGGCTTGTTGCTATGCCTGGGCTTTTAAGTCCATGCTCTTCACTAATGAAGTTCTATACTTTATTTATGAGACAAACAGAGGCCCCCGGTTGCTCAGGGTGCGTGCGGTAAATAGCGCCGTGTGTCCGAGGAGTCTCCTCGCCGTCCCTCTGAGGGCTCTCACTGCTTTTGGCGGGCCTTTTGTTTTTCTGGCTAAACTCACTGGAGACACAGAATGGTAGAAGAAGACGGGGGGGGGGGGGGATCTGATAAAATTGTATTGTGTGAAGATTTATCTTTTCTCAGAACTAAGAGTATTCCTTTTGCCCTCATGTGACCTAGATGCATCTTGGCTTTTTTTGTTCCTGGTCATTAAGAGATATATTCAACGCTAAAGCGAAAAGAGAAACGTGTGAAGGGTGGGGGGGGGGGTTCTTTGTTCAGGATTTATCTCTTTGAAATAAAATGTCTGTTAGTTCCACTTTCCCCATTGGTCACTTACAGCTCCTGAGGGCTACCGTGTCACTGTCGATGGAGGTTGCAACTTTGTATTAATGGAAAATAACGACGCCAAACTGCTCTCCGCAAAAAGTACATCTTTAGATGTCTGGGAGTCGAGTTCCTGGCAAGATGACCAGAGTGTGTCTGATTGGAGAAAAACTAAATGCTCTAATTATTTGTGTTGAAGGCCCATGGACCATAACTCAAAGCCTATTGCCCGGCAATTGCAAATGCCATTTCTTTATGAAATGCGTGCAGAACGCCGCATGCAGTTCTTGAGTTATCATTATTTTGATCTTCTTGATGTGCGAGAGAAGGAGGTACAACAAATGGAGCTTTTAAAACAGAAATAAACAGTTTAATGTTTGCAAAAAGACAAATCCCACCCCTTAGCGTCCTGGGTCTCAATGCTCTAAAGAACTATGGCAGGACTCTGATACCAAATAGTGATGCCTGGGAAATTTTCTGCGCGTTGCTTTTGTGGGAACGAACTAAATGAAAGACCACGTCGAACCACGGCAGGACGTCAGATGTTTAAACAGCGCTACCTGATGTTTTGGTGCCCGGCGCGCTGGAGAGCTCGGCGAGTAGAACAATGACTCCCGTGGAGGAGCGCATATTCTTTTTTTGTTGTTGCAGATGTGTTCCCTGTTTGACCCCGGCGACGTCGCCATTTCAGGTTGTGCATCTGAGCGGAGGGTTGGTATCGACAGCGGCGCAAAGGAAGGGGTCGTGGGTTAAAGACGTGGGGCGAAGCTTCCCCACCGAACCACAAACACTGCCCCTGCCCGCCCCCCCCCCCCCCCCCCAGCTGCTGGGGACCAAGCCAAGTGTGTGGGGCCGAGGCAGGATGAATGAGCATTGTTCTTAGCTAGCTGCGCACACGGTGGACACGAGGGCCGCCGGTGGTATGGGGTCAAGGGGCATGTGGCCGACGACGGTAGGTGGGTGGGGGAGTATCGAGCAGCGTTAAGCCACGGCCCGCTGCTTTTAAACCGACCGGGCTGCGAAGCAAAACAGTTACAACCGGGTAGAATCAAAAGGAAATCAGTCGCGATGCTCAGATAACGGCGGGATCGTCCCGCGCATTTCAATCGATACTTTTTAGGCAGAGGATGCAGATTGTATTTATGCATTTGTGAAGGCAAGGCGCGGAGAACATCAAAGGCCGCTGGTCTGCGTGCGAACCTTCCTTTGCTTGAATTATTAAAATGTGTCGATGTCGCGCGCGCCAGCCACCCCGCGATTATAGTGTAAATTGACAAACTTTTTCAAAACTACAACGGAAGCCACAGAAAGCTGGTTGATACTTCAAGAATGAGCTTTGATAAATCTCTGAGGAATACACTGTGCCTCAATAATGTGGTGACTGTCAGGAAGGAAGACAGGAAGAAGAAAAAAAATATGCTAACTGGTTTAAATCTATTTAAGAACGCAATGAGCTTTTTTCCTATTTTAAGATTAAAAAAAAAAAAACTCCTTGATAATGAGGAAAAAAGGACTTGTGCGTGTGTGTATGTGTGTGTGTGTGTGTTTATTTAGAGTGTGATATTATGTTGTCTTATTTCTGCACTCCTGAATTAAGAACTTCAGGAGGAACGCTGACGTTGTTTATTTTCATAGACCCCCTTTCTGTTTGAGAAGAAAAAAAACAAAAAAAAAACACAATCGCTCAACCAACACACACACACACACACACACACACACACGTAGCGAACGAAATTTTTCTTCGGGAGCAGCGCGAGAGGAAGCGGCGCTCGATCTGTTGCCTGTACATCTCTCTCCCTCCCTGGCTCGCCTTTGATGTTCTCCCGAAAATGTCATCAGGCGTCAAGGAAAGAGAGAGCTTTTTCTTCCCCCTTCTTTTCCGCCCCCACCCACCCAACCACCCTCAAACACACACAAACACACACATCCACCCACCTCGCATATGAGCAAGACAATTTGCTGTCGCTCACTCATCCCCGCCACTATCTTGACTCCCCCTCGCCAACACCCCCTTACTCCCTCCTCGCCCAATCCCAAAACAGAGTACGCACCGGTTTCCACTGCTATCTGGTAGCCGGCCTCCAGTCTCCGTGATGACCTTTCCAGCTTCTCTGTGTTGTCCAACAGATGCGCTCTCTGCAACACATGGAGAGAGAAAGAGAGAGAGAAAAAATGAGAGCCAGAGAAACAAAAACACAAAAAATAAAAAATAAATTGATTTGAGAGGGCTGGGACCCATTTCAAAGAAACACGTCAACACTGTCACCTAAACAGACAGACCACATCCACAACATAATACAGCCAGGTTGGCAATAACCTTCATGGATGACAATGTGTTATGCGCTGATGGAATATCAAGCATATGCATGTTGAGGCTGACAATGTGAGAGGCGCCGCCGCCTCATCTCGGACATGAAAACAGGAGCGACTTTGAGGTTCGTCGCGTCCCGGTATTGTTTCCGCAGACAGAGGCGAGCCGAGGCGGGGGGGAAGGTGGAGGTGCAAGGGGAGCGTATTAAGAAGCATACAAATCTAATATGAAGCTTTCCGGTTCAAGGGAAAAAATCCGGTCCAGGTGAGAGCCTCCAAACAAAAAGGAGAATTTGAAAGGAAAGAAATCATCATTTTCCTCCTCAGCTGTGGATAGTAATGTCACATTTGAAATGAACGAATTCTTGAGTATTAATGAGAACAATGTAAACAATATAAATCTGACCATTATCCTAAACAAAGCCCATAAATGTCTTTTCTGCTTCTTTTTTTATCCACATTACACATTAGTAGACCAATACAGTAATTCATGATGTATGAGTTACTGCCCCCCCCCCTCACCTCCCTCCTGCTTTACTCACTGCTATCAACAATTGACAAGGCTGCCCATTGAAAGCATGGAGCTCCGAGAGCATATCAAGAAAAAATGTGTTTCATAAATAATTAAATAGGCTTTTCAAAGTGGAGGTTTGCGAGTATCAAGGTGTTAGCTGGAGCTCTAATATCACGTGTAAACATATCAATTGATAGCGGTTACTCAGATACCAAAGAACCAGGGATTTAAGTTTCTGCTCCGGAGCTGAAAAATTCATGTCTGACGAGCAAGGCAGCAGAACTATCTGATCCAGCGGCCGACGGCCTTGGCTTCCACCTTAACACTGGAGTTCACTTCAGATTCTTCACATCCAGATAAAAAACTTGTTTTTATCTGAAAAGCTTGTATTGACAACAATGCTTCTAAATCTATTCATGATGTCAATATAAAAGGTCAGTATTAGATCATTCATCCCAAAACGAACGTTTTCGTGGTTCTGCATTAAAGGGTAACTTCACTGTTCTCCAACGTGGACCCTGTTTTTCCATGTTTGTGTCAAAGTGATTATTGGGGGCGACAATGGAAGGGAGCTGCTAAAAAGGCTGCAACGTATTCGCCCGTTGCAATTCCTCGGCGTCGATGCTAAAAGTGCTTGTTTTTGCCACTAGAAGCGTAGGATTGTTATCATGTCTGATAACGGAAAGGACTGTACAGATAAACAAAGGGGTTTTCTTTACCTTTAGCTGGATCCGGAGGGTTTTTTATCGTTTTTGACCGAGTCGCATCCACGTTGTTAAAACAACGGTTGGAAAATACCAAAGCTAATCTTTGGGTTTGGTTTTTGTGCTTCTGGCCTTGCATGTTTTTTTTATACAATTCCCAAGATCTGATAAACTACACCTCTCATTAAAAGATTCTGCTGCACTGCATCACAAGGGGGTTAATCACGGAAGCATCTCTTTGATTCGTCTTTGTTTCAAATAATGCTTAGATATTATATTGAAGTTGTTTTATTTGGTGCAATTATACCATTTCACCATCATGGTTGCTTCTAGAAGATCTTACATACTGAAAAACTGTCATTTAGCGGATTGGTTGATATGCACAGACTTCTTTCAGTGGTTGTATTTAGAACTTTTGTGTATAAAATACCTTTAAATGGTGGCTAATACCATTGTCCAGTCTATGTTATTAGTAAGTGGTTGTTCAGTGCAGATTTTTAACCACATAAAACATAAACATAAAACCATAACTTCAGAGAACATATTCAGCCCCGTACCGTCCGCTGTGGTGCCCGGTGCTTTGATTAAATCCGAGCCGAATTCAGAAGAGGAATCATAAACAGCATAAACATGGATGGCTTGTATGTTTACTTGTATGTTGTTGCTTCTGATGGCCTTTCTGATACGCTGTGCTAAGAAACTGATCAGATGGAATTTGACAGTCAAAAACAACCCGACAAATGACATCTGCCTCTCTGACGAGGGTTTATGCCCGTCAAATCAGCCAAGGGGACGGGGGGGCTCCAGTTTGGGTTAGGCTGTCAGAATGTGTACCAGCTAATCACTCAGAGGAAATGGAAGAAGAGAAGTCAACGGCACACTTTTCAAAGTTTGACAATAAGAGGAAAGGGAAAAGCGCGCGGAGGAGAAAAACTCCCTCTGAACTCTTCTTCTTCCCTTTTCTTCGCGCCGCTGACAGATGTCATTTAAAATTGCAGCGATACTTTTCAATAGATAACAGGCGGGGGGGGGGGGGGGGGGCAGAGGGAGGATGCAGGGAGTGGAGAACGGGCGGGTGGGTGGGTGGTAAAACGGTGGAAAGCGACGAGGACACAGCGAACGGGATGGGACGCCGGGTTGTTTTTATTTCGGAGGTGGTGGTGGGGGGGCGAGGGAGGGTGTGGCATTGGGTCTGACGGGGGGGGGGGGGGGGGGGGGGGGGAGAGGCCACTTCGGGTGTGCAATGTCGCAGTGGCGACCCGGCGGAGGTGTGCGTGGAGATGGAGCCGGGGGCCGTATGAGCCGCTGGATCAGAGGGGACGTATTGAAATTGCGGCGGCTCACGCTCGCACACGCCAGACGGCGGCTGCAGCGCTTGCGTGGTGCCCGGGAGCGCCAGGCAGCCGGGGATACTGACAGAGTTGCGCGCTCCCCCGGGCTCTTCAAAGAGCTCAAGTGATTAGTATGTTATCATTCCCATTCGAAACGGGATTTCTCCTATTCCCCTCTCGGCAAAGGTGACACGTCTCGGGGAGACGGCCCGGCGGACTCGCTGCGAAGGAAAAAGCCACTTCAAAGCTTTCTCCTCCTGAATTTCTCCCTCTCTCTCTCTCTCGTTCTGTCTTCTTTTAGTGCCGGGAGGGGTGTGTGGGGTGGGGGGGGGTAGTGGTGGCAGTGTGTGTGTGTGTGTGTGTGTGTGTGTGTGTTTGAGATCATTAGAATAATGCGCCCCCGGTTTGATGGTGACAGAACCTGAAGGAAAGGGTGAAAGTTCAGCCACTAACAATCCATTAATGGCACACAGCGATGGCCCTCGTAATGACACAATCCAGCCACGGACAGGGGACGGTACCCTGGAAAATAATGAAAAGGAGCATGTGTAATGAAACCTAAACACCCGGTACTACGTAGTCACGGGTTTCATGTCCACAAACTTCTTCTCAACTGAGGCGACTCTTATTCTCCCGAATAGCAATATCTTTATATTCAAATATCTCACTGGAGTCCCAGTCATCCCTGTCAGCATTTCGTCGTGACGGAAAAGTGGCTTTCCAGCCACAACTGTGCTACGACGGCACATATCACGGCTTGACCCCTACAGTTCCACCATCGCGACACAGACACACACACACACACACACACACACACACATCTGGCTTGGCATTCAGATCTGCCATTAGTCCACTTTCAATTAAGGATTTTATCCAAATCATAGCCGACGGTCTCAGGGAGCCTTCCAGCGAACGATTTAAATACAATACATGGCGGCGACGACGGTGCATGTCTGAGTGCCCCGGTGCGCCCCACCGCCGCCCCCCCGTTCCTGCCTATGCATGTATGCCTTTTCATCTGACACCTACATTTTGAACAAAGATCTTCTTAGGATCCACGAAAAATTGTGTTTTTTTGTTGTGCTTTTTGGCGTCGAGAAACACTCTTCAGTTGTAAGTTATTAACAGGGAGCCCCAGAACAATGCAGCTGTAGCTCAAAAGAAAATCGCTCCCCTCTTCATTCGCTCTCCTGCCTTTTTTCAATATCAAACACAGGCGGTTACTATCACCATTTTCCAAAGTTCAGATGATTTCCTTATTATTTCAATAAGGGTGGGGGAGAGTCAAAGTGAATAATGATGACAGCTGTGATTCAGACTGACTGTGTGATCTTCTCTGCCGTTTGTTTGGGACTTGTAAGACGAGGAATTACAAGTGTCAAACAGCTGTGAATATGGCTGCTAAATATTTAAACATGTTTTTCAGCCCTGAAAAAAAAAAAAAAAAAAGTATAGTGTTTTTTTAAAAGCAAGACTTAAGTGTGTATAAGCTGTGCCAGCCTTTGATTCCGGCGCGGGGGAGAGCAGACGGGTAATAGACTGCGATGGGAGGAGCGCGACGGCGAAGACGGGGAGCAGAATCGAGCCCCATTAAACGGACGGGTCCAAGCGGGGGAGACAGCTGAGGAAAACGCGAGCGGTCTCCTGACCCTCGGGCTAGCAGGAAACGCACAAAAAGGAACAAAAAAAAGAGGAAGGGAAAAGTACAGCTAAATTAAAGGGGGTGAAAAAAAAGAAAGTGTGATAACATGGCATCTAGGCCAGGTTGGCGCTGTTAATTATGGATGGGTGTGAATGCTGGGCCTTTGATAGGAATTGAATCGGAGAGGTTCTTTTGAACAGTCTCACTCAAAGGCACGTTTAACAACATACTGTAACTACGCCGGCGCCTATAAGTTCAGTCACGCTTCAAAAGGACAAGCGGTGCAACGTACGTATGTAAAAAGGTATCGGCTTAAACATGTTACGACTACCGAGCGTTAATTATAAAAATGGAGATGTTACTGCAGCTGTCGGGAATATCTGTAGACGTCCCAGGGACAAATGTTTAGGGTTATAATCCAAATTAGCTTCTGTCAAACTTCACGTGCATTTTAAAAACCATAACATAACTTAATAAACCAACTATTCTGGCAACTAAATCAACATTCAGAAGAACGAAACTAGGATTCTTATTTCTGAACTGAAATCCTTTCTATTGACGATGTGCGGTACATGACAGTGAACATGTTTTCACACTTTTGTTTGTCTGAACATTTGTACATTTTGTGAAGCAACAGCAATGCAGTTTACGCCGAGTGACATTTTCATGACATAGCATGCCGTGCATGTTCGGTTACATTAAACAGGAGCACGGTTCTGGAACCTTTTGGCGAGGGTAATGGTAACCATGGTGAACGACAACCACGCGTCATCTATGATGCACATATTTCATTGCTAATAATCACCCAAGGCCCAAAGAAACTGATGTGGCTGCATTCAAGGAGATGAAGGGAGAGTAAATCTTACAGGCAGCACGTCCCTCTTGAAACTAAAACGTTTATCAAGCAAGTCGTCTGACCAAATAACAGACAAAGTTTATCTTCATTCCCCCAATAGTCGCCTTCAAAAAGTCAAATTCAAAAATCTTATCTTCATGTTATTTTAAGGTAACTGGAGAAACTGTCTGGCAGTGAATTCATTATCTTTGGCTTGTAGGCCGTTCAATCAGACATGAAAAAAGGAAGAAGAAAAAAAAGGTCCAAATGAGGAGAATTATATTTCTCCACAGGAGGAGGGCAAATTGAAATTTCAGTTGGGAAAGCAGGATTGTAACTGTTTGAGCAGAGAAGCACTTACCTCTTCACGTAACTTTATCAACTGCATCGTGAGAGCAAAGGGGAGAAGAGAAAAAGATTGAGAGAGTGAAGCAGAGATAATAGTTTTAAAAAAAAGCAGAAGAAGAAACATGGCAGGAAGAAGATCGGTCATGTGGCTGGGTAGAGAATTAACCTTGACGATTTATCCGTTTGCATGTTGTAGCATTTGGAGAATCACAAGACAAACACATTAAACGGAGCCAAACACGCCGCTCAGGCTTTTTTTTTTTTTTGAACAAACAAAAGATCAAGTCCTGGCGCTGTCACATTAAACAAGGGAGGGAATGGATCGCTCGCCGAGCAATATCACCTAACATTATCAAGGACGTCACATGGCGGATGTTGATGCAGCAGGAGGAGGGAGAAAACCGGGAGTACCACGTTGTCTCCACAGTTACTAAACACGGTTAACTGGATTTGTCATTTCGCCGAATTCTCAGGAAAGGGATGAAAAAGAAATAACGTGTGCTTCGCAGCAGAGTTGGAGAAATGCTGAGCCACTCTTTATAAGCGCTGATATCCTGTCGATATTGCAGCAAAGGTGCGTCTGGATTATGTGTGGGAAAACCACGCGAGCGTGCCGCCGTATGAACGCACAGCATTATTGGGACAGACGCAGATCATAAAAAATGAATCTTAGAATGCCTATACATTTTTGATGAAAGAGAAATTTAAAGTGAAGTAAATAAGAAATGCTATTCGTATTCCCCCGGTCTGGGAAACCTCGCATCTCCGATAATGAATCAGACATTTGAGGGAGGGAAATAATCCCATTTGCCATTAATTATGCTTAATCACAATTAAAAAAGGTTGCTTCCCTGGCCTGTTGTGGTTGCTGCAGAGAAGGAAGGCGAGGGCTGGGGCTTATCGTGGGAATGCAACGCGGTTGGCAGAGAAGGGGGAAGGACGCATTTCTTGATCTGCAAGCCGTTTGGAGGCGTTTTTTTTCTTTCTTTTTTTCCCTCGCCATCCACATTTCTTGACCAACATTAGGAGATCTCAGTAGAGGCTTGGAGCCACTGTTACTTGTGGCGCTGATTTTGTAATTGTGAGAGTCTGGGAAGGATTTTCTATCGTATGAAAAGAGGGAGAGTTCTGAGATTTTAAATAAAAACTTGATTGACAACAAAAATTAAGCACCGGCTGCTTCTACCAACTCTTCAGACCATAACAAATCATTAAAATCATAGTATTGAACATTTGCACCTAGTGAACTTAAATCCTAAAAAACAATAACACCTTTTTTATTTATACTATACCTGTGGTAAACACACTCGAAGAAATGTGTCGAGTGGTAACACATTCATGAGGAATCTATACTATATAAATACAATCTCTCATTTGTCACAGCGCCCCCCGCCCCTGCATTTTGTTTTTTTCAAGCATCTCAAAAATAGTCCGTGCATCCTTTTTTTCCACCAATCCAAAAACACGACGCTGCGCTGCAATATTTCAAATATAAAAATATTGTTGATATCCGTAATGTTGGAGGTAAACAAGTATAATTGCGTGTTTTTCCTTTCGCTCTCCCCTTGAAAACGTCGGCGGTAACCAGACGCACTTAAGAGTGGGAAAAGCCGTCCAACTCGAGGCAGCTACTCCCCACCAAGAATGCATTATTGAAGAGGCCAAAGTTTAAAACTACACTGTGGATGTGCTTATTTGGGGGTTAAAAAAAGAAAAGAAAAAAAAAAAAAAAAGCCCTGCGTATCCTGCGATCCCTCAACCCGGCTCAGCCATCAGTCAATGGGTACCAAACAAAACTTGTTCCAGCTCATTTGTGCTGCCTCACTTGATTGCAAGTCCTTCGTGGAGGATTTGGTGAAACCATACGGGTGGCACGTCGAGCCGGCTAGATTTATTTTTCCTCTGTTTTTCTCCAGCGCGGCCAAAACGAGGCTCACGTTGCTCAAAAGAAACAGCAGCAGTAAATATAGAATATTGTAAATGTTATAATTACTTCGGCATGAGCGCCTTGGCCTTCTGTTTTTGTGATGCCAGCCAGTATTCAGAATTGCACCGCTGCAATTTTTCTGTTATGATAATCAGCATTTTTTTTCTATTTTTTTTTCAAACAAAAGATTCTTTTTCTTTTTTTTTTTATCCAATACGGAATTCGATACAAGTGGTAATCTGCTTCCTTTGTAGCCTGTAAAATCTGGTCCATACCGGCTCAAACCAGCACAATCTCTTGTGGCCAAGCCTTCTGCTGTGACTGAAATCGAAACTATTCCGTATATAGTTGGTGTGTGAAAAACGTGCGTGCGTTTGCTGCTTTGTGTGGGGTGTCTGTGTGTGTGTGTGTGTGTGTGTGCGTGCGCGTGTGTGTGTGTGTGTGTGCGGGTTGCATGCAGAGGAAACAGAAGGAGAAAATGTGCAATGGTAGCCCACCACATTATTAAAAAAAAAACGAGTGATAGTGCCAATTCAGTCTCTGTCCGCATACAGATAAGGAATAAATGCCGAACTCTATTAAATCGTCCTTTAGCCATTATCGCAGGGCCAATACGCCATTTTCAAAACTTATGACGGTTCCCCATTTACTTAGCCATAAATCCTTGCCATGTAACCAACAGATTTGCGACTGGTAATGATCTGCTCAGCCAGGGCTATATGAAATGATCCTGACCTCTTTCAGATCGTCAGGAATTAAATTGACCGACTTGCCCCGGCCCCCGCCATCTTTTCCACTCCCCTATCACCACCGTCTCGTTAGATTAAAAAAAAAAAAAAAAAAAACTCTGAAGTTCCGAGTACTCCACTCACAGCAGGACAAGTATTATCTCCACAAGTTTTAAAACGAAAATAAGGGTAAATACGGCACCTGGGAGGAAAGGGAAAATGTACATCATCTATTTACTTTGCTTTTGGCCCCAGCGTGAATTCTCTCTCAGGCTCTGGATTTTAGATATTCTAATACAGTTCTTAAGGTTTCACCTCAGACATCATAGTTGCAAATTATTAAAATGTTTTTCATAATTCTGTGATTTACATATGGTTTAAACATATTCAAGTTTTGAGTTGTGGTGATATTTTTGCAAACAAATAAAATAAAAGGAGAAACATGAAAGGAAAATGTCACTCTTTGACATAAATTCCCAAAGATACATATTTTTTTAAGCTAAATGTTTTTACTTGTAACATTCATTTGATTTAATTATTTATAAATATTTCATAATTTAAATACGATTTTGATGTGAAATGAGAATTAAGAACGAGTTGTGAACAATGTGACAGATTTCTATCAATGGATCAAATTAACAGGTTAATGTTTTCATTCAGCCATTTGACATAAAATAATATAATTTGATAATTATTATCAAGAATACAAAAACACACAAATCAAAACACAAAAAACCCCAGTAATTTCCCCAATTTAGAATATAAATGTAAAACATGAAACAAACTTCAATAATATGAATTCTGTATCAATACATTTTTCAATGATTTTCTTTTAGGATCTGTAAATTCTGAATTAATAAATAGTTTTGGATAAATGTTTAATGAAAAGGCAAATAAGATTTGGGTTTTTTTGGCTTTTCCCTGACAGACTATCGATAGAAGTCCTCAGTATCTCAGACGTGACATTTCTGACAGCAAATCTCCTTACAACTTCTGCAAAAAATGTCAAAATCACTATTGTGTCTTGCTAATTTGCGGGGAATATGCATTTCAATGACCCATCTTGCTTCTTGATACATATGTTTCTAAGATGTGCAGTTCATGGGTCATCATTGAAATGGTAATAGGGAAACGTTAAAAAAAAAGAAAGAAAAGCAGACAACTTTATTTAGCTTTGTGTAGCTGTGACTCATCTAAATATACCAACATAAAACACTACGGGACTAAATGTGCAAATACGCATTAGAGTATTCATCTTTTTCTTCTTTTTTCTAGAGTGCAAATTTCTTTGCACAAGAGTGTGTGAGATTGCGTGTGTGAGGAGACGCACTCACCCCTGCTAGTTGACAGCCGATTGTGAAGGTAACACATAATTAGTCAAAAGACGCGTGGTCAGAGTTGAGTGTGGCTGCGTACGAGTGGCAGCTGTGCAGGTGAGCGATCGGTAAGAGCGTTAAAAGCGCTGTTTGCGCGCCCCGTTGGTGTTTCATTGTTTTGATGCAGAAAAGACTATTTAAGTTTTAAAAAATGAACATAGCATATTTTGGCAAATTAAGACCACAGTTCAAGATAACCGCTTTTCTTCTTCACTTAAACTTTCTCGACTGCTGTGAATGGATCTTTTGTAAACATTGGCGACAGCGATTGAACGTGTTCTTCATCTGTTTTTTATATTGCTTGAATTCAACAGGCTGAACTGATATTCAAACAAAATGTCATCGGTAATTAGCATTAACTGTGAATATGTCAAATAGAATGCGTTTTTTTTATTCAGGGCGTATAATGGAAAATAAAAAATATGTATTAAGGGGTGAACGGATCATTTGTATTTATATTTTATTTATTGTTTTAAAGATATCACTTGTTTAAAAATATGAGAACTCTTTTCCATTCTGTGCATCTGCGCTGTGCAGGCCGGCCACCCTTGTGCGTTTGTGCATGCTTGTGTTTGTCTGTGGACTTCGATGGAGGGTCTATTATCGGCCAAAGTCCACACCCGGCTGGAGAACAGCTGTGGGACGTTTCGAGTGAGGAGGATTTAAATTTGTGTGGGATAGTGCGTTTGTGTTTAGGTGTTCATGTGTGTGTTTGTGTGTGTGTGTAAGCTTGTGTGGGTCACAATCTGGCTTCGGCTTGACACTGGTCCCATGCCCTGAGCCCACTCGCTGGCAGCCCAGCTTTGCATTAAACAGTGTTGCTTCCGCCTGACTTGGTGACAATACCGTGGTTTCAGCTCTCGATGGCCTCGCCGAGGGGCCTACTCCCCCCCCCCCCACCACCACCTCCCTCAGGGGGCCAGTCAGCCACCCACGCTGCTGTCGTCCGGGCCCCTGATTAGCACCTCACCTGGTTCTCCGAGGAGCTGGCTTCGTCCCCCAGGAGCTCGTTGCGCACCTCATCGCTGTAGGCAATACGTGACCTTTTCTGCAGGGGGAGGAGGATGAGGAAGAAGGACAAAAAGAAGAAGAAGAGGAGACGGGAGAAAGGGGGGGGGGCACAAGAGAGGGAACAAGTGGGGAAATGTGGCTTAGTACTGACGTTGATGCAAGAACACAACAGGCATTCCTTAAGCACGAGAGCCCCCTAATGGAACTTTGTGACAAACCGAGTCGCACACATGCAGGTTGTGAGTGTGTGTGTGCGTCTCTCTGTCCCTCTGTGTTAATACTTCTGGGTTTGCGTCAAAGCCTCCTTCCAAGGTGATCTACTGCACCTACTGCCACAAAAGTGACAGAAATGAGTCCCGCCCCCGACCACCACCACCACCACCACCACCTCGCCCACCTAAACAAATATAAGTTGAAGTATAAAACATACAAAAGAAACTGATCTTGGGTGCATGGAGAGATTGTAGAACAGGGGGGGACGGGGACGGAGGAGAGGCCCAGGGAGATGTATTATGAGGAAGTATCACTTGTCAGCGCTAAATCTTTTCAGGGGGGGGGGGCTGTCACGCTGTCACCCCGGTGCAGTAGCAGCCTCTGTGATAACACCGATGCCGAGTCCCAGACAGGGAATAATTCATCACCCACCGGCGGCCCATCGGATTTGGGGTTGCCTCCCTCTCCAAAACACACACACACGCTCGCTGGGAATGCCATGTCCAAAAGAAGAAACCCCAAAAGACAAACACACACTTTTCATACAGTGTGCCACCTCCGATTGTCGAAGAGAGGACTGCCGTCGTAGCGCTTGTTTACAGACGCCCGACCCGTGGAAGAACAGCCTCTTGGCATGCCCTCCACACTAAACACACACCAGCAGCAGACACACAAAGTGTTTACTAAGCCTCCTTTGCTTCCTCTCGCTGCCTTGACAGGGTTTCTAGGTGGGCTGCAGGAGGTGGGGAAAAAAATATAAAAAAAATCAAAGACACACACACCAGTGCAGAAACGAAAACACCCCTTTCTCCTCAACACAAATCCTTTCTATATTTACTCGGTTTTTGACTCTGAAGGAATAAAACAAAGTAAGAGAATCAGTGGAGAAACACCAATTACCTGGTGGGGCATTCTCTCTCCTCAAATACAATATTCCTTTTCCCAGAATCTTTCTGTTATCAGTTAAAGTTTGAAGAAGCCATTGCAAAAAGTGCTTTGATCCTCCTTTCAGTTAGAGACACACAAATTCAACTTGAAAAAGCCAATTCTAACCTCACGAGCGATGATATCAAGTTCCTTGATTGAAATAACTTTGTCAACTCAATCACAATCGAGTTGATTTTTTCGGGGAGGGGGGTGTTATTCCTCTACTGGGGCACTGAGTGGAAAGTCACGGCTGATGTGTTTTTTGGCTGTAGCCATCGTCATGGCGATGGCCACCGTCCTCTGGAGTAATTACCGAGCAGACGGAGGGCCTGATTGAGCCGGACCACAAAACCCATTAGATAAAGAGCGCACGCAAACAATGGCCGGACCGCGGGGACGCCGAGCTCGCCGCAGAACGCCCACTGTGGGGAGAGGAGGAGGAGGCCCGCGGCACCCCGACTCGCACTCACACACGTGCGCCATGTCAATAATGTGCCGTTTTCTTTTCGTTATATTTTTGGGGGATTGGGCCGTAAACTTTAGCACAGTTGTTAACTTTTTAGTTTGTAGAAATCGTTGCGACACACACTTGATCCGGCAGTTTATCACACTAGATTGGATTTAATTTACTTTTTTGGTAAAAATAACAAATAATAAAACAAGTAAGTTGCTTCATGGCAAATATAGGTGACAAATGTAATAATTACAGCTTGTTTTCTATACACCTGCTTTGTTGAAATGAACGCAAAAAACATATTTAAAAAGAAATTAGTGTGATCATATTGTGTCTTTCTAAGAACAGACGGTTTAAAAATAGAACACAGGCTTTTATGCAGATCTCAAATGCCATGTCAGCATTATTTAAGCCCCATGTTCTGTGCAGATGTAAATGGTCACTGTGTCGCTGTCAGATGTTAAAAAGGAATTTCAGATTTGAGTAAAACCAGAAAGACAATAAGCATCAATTATAAGACAGCATGTGCACTTGTACACCAGGCACACGCAGATATTTGTTGCCAGGAAAACACCCACATATTCCATTTAAGTGGAGTTTCATCTTAAAGAGCTGCAGTGCAACTTAGGGGGAAGAGACGACTTCAGCAGTAATTGAGACGAGGAAGCCTGGGAGAAGCATTGATTTGAATGTCGAGGCTTACGTCGCCTTCAAAACCATATGCAGGGATTTTTGTTGGGGTGGAGGGGGGGGGGGTATTTCTAAATAGCTGTCTGTTACAGATGAACGTATGAAGCGTTTCCGCAATGAGAACAGTGCAGATAACAAAAGGAAAGTATAAAGAATGGAAAATGTCATTGAAATGAAAGCGTGCCGCTACTTCCCCTGTACCTACAGTATGCACTCCAGTTTTTGTATTCCCCCTCAGGAAAACAACAGATTCCTGAGTGATTACTGCCTCCCCATTTGATGCAAGACATAAACAGCTGTGCGATATTGACTGCTTAATACAGTAACAGATTTGGATTATAAATTAGGCAAAATATTACGACGTGACAACAGGACAGCAGATATAACAGGTGCATGTTCAACGGTAACGGTGTATTCTTGTTACAGTTATGGAAAGACCGAGCTGGAAACCAACTAATCAGGCTTTGTAATCTAAAAAAGAACGAGCGCTTTCAGAAGACACCTTATTGCTCAGACGAAGGGGGAGCGGGGGGGGGGGGGGGATGCTTTTTATAATCCTTTTGAAAGGTCTGTCTTTTGTCACTTGTTTTAATCTTGGGTGAGAATTTGCTTCTATTCCCGGATGCACACAAGAAAAAGTACAAAGGTACATCTTAACTTTATGCAAAGTGGCCGTTAAAAAACTCCACCCAGCCCGTCAAAAGCAGCGATGGAGGTGCTGGTGTCCTGTCAAAAACACACGTTTTACCTCTGCTGACACGGATAGCAGACGGGGAAAAATAAAAAAAACTTCTTACCCATCAAAATGTAATTACATATGCATGCATAACAATTCCTATCAGATATGCTAATCGGTTTGGCATAATCCTCCGAGCAGAAATGGATATTTATTTAATTATAGCAAATATAGGGATCTTTTGTTTGTGCACACTTTCTTTATAGTATATGTGGGCATGCATGAGTATTCATATTACCCAGAAAGAAGAAAGCATATCTTACAAAACATCGGTTTCTAGAAGAAACCTATTAATGGTTGTAAAACAATGACCTTTCCTGATTTCAAGCAGTCAACAATACCGGTCTTCGTAATGTAAAATAAAAGTTTGGCATCTCCAATGAAATTAAACATTTTTTTAAAATCTCCCTAGTTTAAATCAAATAAACTGAGGGGCTAAAATACATTTCACTGCCCTCCAGCTCTCCTCTTTGCTTTTCACCAGGCGCAGCGAGAGACACGAGGATAACGCAAATAATTGTGGCGCCTGGAAAGCTCACAAATGTAAACAGTTCATTAGAGGGGAAATAAAAGGCATAAAAATACCCAGGGGCAAAGTGTAATGAGGGGCCCTGAAGTTCCTTTTCCCTCCACTTTCCCCGAGCTTTTTCCTTTGCACGGCCGGTGTCGTGGCGCGAAAAGAGTAATTAACCGTATTCCATTTACAATACTACGTTCCATTACAGGCTCCTGCACCAGCAGGAGAGCAGCTTGGCATCTCCAAATTTAGACCGAATGGCACTTAAATTCAGCTCTGTGTGCTTGCAACTGGCATTGACCCGCTTATTTTCTGTTCCGCTGGAGCTGCTTCTGTGAATGTGGGACGTATGGAAACCGCTACGTAACAGTAACTTTCAGGTGGGCGAAAAAGGCACGATTACCCAGAAAAGGTTTGATACCCTTGAATATCTTGTAAAACAATTGAACAGTAAAAAAAAAGTCTCAAGTCAGCAATGAAATGACAAAAAAAAACGGGGTCATAAAATGTCTTTATGTGTTATCAATAGCACTTCTCCTCCTCCTCCTCCTCTTCCTCTTCCTCCCCGCTGTGATATTTTCCCAGGTGATGTGTGGACCAGTACCGTCGGGTCCCCCCCCCCTCTCCTTAGAGGGCAGAGGTGGACCGATGCGGCACGGCGTTAAAAGGAAGCGGAGACCTTTAAGCAGGCGCAAGTATCACAACAGCATCTTAAATAATGCAGCTCTGCTTGGCAGGGGACACACACACACACACACAGCACAAAGGAAAACACACAAATTGTTGTCTAGTGTATTTTCCTCTCCTTCAACGCAAACAAATTGGGAGAAGGTTGTTCAATTAAGTAAGTGCTCTTTCTAAATGCATTTGATATATTATCAGACAAAGGCGAGCAGCTACTGCGATCGTCACAGGAGGGCGTCATTGGTGCCTTTGTTTTATTCCGGTCTTTGGTGTCATCGAACCCCCCCACTCTCCCCCGGGCCCCCCCACACTTCTGACTGTTGTGCGCCTTTGTGTGGGTGCGTACGCGTGCACGGGGTCCACTGTATGCGCGCCTGGAGGCTTCGCGTCCCGGGGAAAAAAAAGGCTCCTTTAGAGAGCTGCACGCACATGTGTGAACGGTAGCCCGGTGTGTGTTCTCTCCTCTCATAGAAGTGCAGCAGTAGCAGAGGAGCCACAGCCTTAGATGACAGCATGGGGCCTCTCATTAGCTCACAGGTTGGCGCCTTGGTGGCTTCCACGCGCGCAGCATTGTGTTCCAATTGCATGGATGGGGGGGGGGGGGGGCTGAAAGAGGCTCCGGGAGAAGCCGTTGTCGAAAGCGCAAAATGAAAAAAGGTGTAATGATCCACTCGGAGAGGAGGCAGTAAATGAGCCGCGACACGTGTAAACACGGCGTGAGGCGACAAGGCTTATTTTAGGGTGACGGGGGGGGGCAACGGGATCTCATGTCATATGTAAAAAAGTTATTATTAGTTGAATTTCATTTTCAATTAA